GTTAATACTCTAATTTCTAGCAGTGAGCGCATACATCAAGCTACCTACCGCACTGGCATATGGAATCTTTGATATATATTCTCTGTCTTTAACTGAAACAGGTGGCATCTTAGCTGAAAGCTTAAAATGGGGATCCAATGGAGTGCTCACTGCCTTTGTATTGCCATCCAAGCTGAATTTCTTCAACATCTTCTGCAGATAACTCCTCTGTGTAAGTTTCAATCTCCCCTTCGCCCTGTCTCTCTCGATCTTCATACCCAATATCTTCTTCGTCTCTCCAAGATCCTTCATCACAAACTCATATAACGGCTCCTTTTTTAACTTTCGAATAGCCGAATAATTCCTAGAGGCAATAAGCATATCATCAACATATAGTAACAAATAGATGTACTCACCATCCTGTAATTTGTGCATGTAAACACATGGGTCATATGAGCTCCTCGTGTACCCTCGGCCAATCATAAAGCTGTCGAATCTCTTGTATCATTGTCACAGTGATTGCTTCAATCCGTAAAGAGACTTTTTCATCTTGCACACCAATTCTTCCTTTCCTGCAGCTTTAAACCCCATAGGTTGTGTCATGTAAATCTCCTCTTCTAAATCTCCATGTAGAAAGTCTGTCTTAATATCCATCTGGACCAAATCCAAATCCAGTTGTGCCACTAATGCTAATAAAATCGGAATTGATGAATGCTTCACAACGGGTAAAAATACCTCGTTGTAATCAACGCCCTCAAGCTGTGCATACCCCTTGGCAACCAATCTGGCTTTGTATCGAGTGTCCCCAATAGAAGATCCCTCTTTTTTTGCATACACCCACTTGCATCCAATAGCCTTCTTACCCTTTGGTAGCTTTGCAAGTTCCCAAGTATCGTTCTTCTGAAGAGATCGCATCTCCTCCTCCATAGCTTCCCTCCACCTAATCGAATCAGAGCTTGACTCTGCCTCCCTGAATGTAGAAGGAGCTAAATCATCAACGAGTTCTGCTGATAAAGCACATGCAACCATGACATCATTATATCTAGCTGGCTGACGAATCACCCTTCTAGGTCTATTTGCGATAATGGACTCCTGAACATGACCCTGCTCATGAGTCTCACCATCCACTATATCCTCTAATTTCCCGGCTATCATCTCATCTCCTTCCAATGTCACATTTGTAGGAGCCTTAATGGATACAATGTTATCTGGAGTGGGTGGAGTCACATCATCCTCCACCTGCTACGATATCCTATCTGTCTGGTCTTCCTCCACCTGCTAAGGAACTTGAAGCTTCATCATGTACGCCTCATCAAATGTGATATCCCTGCTAACAACTATCTTTTGTCCTGTGGATCCTATAATTTGAAGCCTTTAACTCCATCTCTAAATCTCACAAAGACTACTTTCCTCGCCCTTGGATTCAATTTACCATTACTGACATGGTAATAAGCACAACACCCAAATATCCAAAGCGACTCATAGTCACTAGCCACCGAACCAGACCAACGCTCCATAGGAGTCTTTCCCTGTATCGCAGTGCAAGACAACCTATTCACGAGATGACTCGCATAAACCAACGCCTCGGCCTAAAAGATCTTGACAATCCACTCTGTGTTATCATACATCGCATTTTCTCCAGCAAGATACAGTTCAACCTCTCAGCCACCCCGTTCTGTTGCGGTGTCTCACGAACTGTGAATTGTTGCCTAATGCCGTGATCCCGAAAAAACTGCAGAAACGGATCACTCTTATACTCTCCTCCATTGTCCGAACGAAGAGTCTTCACCTTTCTACCTGTTTACAGCTCCACTTTCTTCTTCCACTCCACAAAAATATCCAGGACCTCATGTTTATGCTTCATATGGTATACCCAATTTCTCCTGGAATAATCATCAATGAAAGTGACAAAATAGTTGGCATCACCAAGTGATGTGTGTTTGGAAGGGCCCCAAACATCTGTGTGAATGTAGTCCAATATACCTTGGGTATTGTGAATAGCGATGCCAAACTTCACTCTCGTTTTCTTCCCAAGTACACAATGCTCACACAGCTCCATCTTGTAAGTCTTCGCACCTTTCAATAGCCCATGTTTCGCCAATGTCTGCAGTGACTTATCACCAGTGTATCCTAAACGCATGTGCCATAATTTGGTAGTGTCCTCCTCTGTAGTGATAGAAGCTGTCAGACCCCCTGTAACTGTCTTGCCCTTCAAGTAGTATAGGTTGTTTTCCCTGATACCTCGCATCACCACCATGGACCCCTTCGTGACCTTCAGAGTTGCATTCTCCAAGATCACCCGATAGCCAGCTGCATCCAAAGTTCCAAGTGAAATAATGTTCTTCATCAACTTTGACACGAACCTTACATCCTTCAGCTCCCGAGTCACCCCGTCACACATACGGATCCGAATTGTACTAATACCACCAATAGGACATACATGATCATTACCCATAAGCACGACATCCCCTCTTTCCAACTCCTTAAAGATGGAGAACCAATCCCTCCTAAGATAAATATGGTATATAGCACCAGAATCCATCATTCACTCCGTAAAGTCAGCGTAACAAACTGACGGTAATGCTGAGCATGAAAAGCCTGAAGAATCCGTATCTGAATTGTCGTCACTAGCCTTAACAACATTCACTTCCGAAGCTTGTACAGCTTTCTATTTATTCTTCTTGGCTTTATCTTTTAACTTTGGGCACTCGTTCTTCCAATGTCCTTCTTCTTTACAAAAACGACACTGGTTCCTACCAACACTCTTATGGCCACATCTATTCCTTGATTTTGAGTGGTTGGATTGCCAACGGTTTGGAGTATGGCCTCGCACTGCTAATGCATCTCCTGATGCCTTCTCGGAGGGTTCGTTATCACTTTTTCTCAATTCATAGTTTACCAAAGCTGAGGTCACCTCCTTATAACTAACAGTAGTTCTACCATTGATCATAGTTAGGACAAAAGTACCATAATCATCCTTGGGCAACGAACACAAATGTAGCATCACCTTATCTTCATCCTCAACCATGATATCCACATTGGCCATATCCGAAAGCAACTTCATAAAGTTATTTACATGCTCCCTAATGGAAACTCCCCTCTTCATCTTGAACTGGTAAAATCTCTTCTTCAAGTGAAGCCGATTCTCAATGCTTTTAGTAAGATACTTTTCATTGAGCGTTTCCCACAATTTCTTCGCTGATGTCTCGTTCATTACATCATAAATTAGATATGGCGTTAAGCATGACCTATTAACTCCACAAGTCCTAATGTTCATCTTCTTCCAAACATTATCCTCCATATCATCTGGTTTCTCTTTCAACTCAAGAGAATCCTCCTCATTTTTGTGCGTCCAACGCATCCATCACCTGGCACCTCCACAAACCAAAACTAATCTTATCGTCGAACTTCGGAACATCAATCTTTGTATTATTGATGCTCAGACTCTGTATCGTCTTCGAAAGAAACGATCCCGATGTGCTTGTTTTACCCATGTTGTAGATCTAACTCTTCAAATAAGAATCCTTCAGCGAATCCTTCAAACAAGCCCGAAGCCAAAACCTGGGCTCTGATACCACTTGTTGTGCACAACGAAAATTTCGTACACACTTCTGGTGCACAACAAGAGAGTAAGATCACAACTAAAATTCACGTCTCACCAAGGAAACAAGAATCGACATTGATATATCTTAACAAAGTGGGATATACACTCTTCCTCTCATCAGTTCTAGGACTGACTTGTCGAGGGACCCTAACAAGCTATTACAAATCACAAAATAGCAAGACAAACGAATTTTACATGGTTCGGCAAGTTGCCTGCGTCCACGGGGCAATGAGGGGGGAGTTTTACTATTTGAGAGAAAGAGAATACAAATAGGATTTACAAACACACAAGGTCGCACAAACAGAAACCCTCAAACAATCTCTCAAACCCCTCACAATTTGTCTCTCAAAAGGATGTTGAAAAATCTTCTCAAAATCAGCACAAAAGACTGCACAAAAACTCCTCTCAAAGTTGACGGCTCACTCTCTGCGCGTTTTTTTCTTCTCCGCCACAAACCCTACCTGACGTCGCTATTATATATATATATAATATATATATATATATATATATATATATATATATATATATGAGAAAAATGGGTATACTGGTCCTAAAGGATCCTTGTAGTGATGTGGACACATCTTGTCCATACATCACACCTTTGAAGATGGAGCCTCACCAACTTCAAGGTGCGATGTATGGACAAGATGTGTCCACATCACTACCAAAGGATCCTTGGCCCAAGTATACCATTATTCTCAAATAATAATATAATATATATAATATATATAATAATATAATATATATATATATATATATATATATATATATATTAATGATATAATTAATAGCGAGAAGATCGTGACATAAAGGCTAGCTGGGTGCACACCGCACTGCAACGAATTGCCCTAGCACTCCACGTTCACAATCCACGCCAATCCACACCCACGTTCACATGAATAACAAGTGAAAAAACACAGCATGCAACATGCACAAACAGAAAGAACAGATTTCAAGCTAAAAGGATTCACTCCTTATATAGAACTGCTAACTATTAATTACAAGTATAATTTGCCAAACAAGGGAATAACGAAAGATTGACCAAATATGCAACTAATACACAAAAGAAGCTAGAAAGTAACATACAAAATCAAATAATTCATGTTTTTACTTGCTGGAGCTTGGAAGAACAAATTAACTTTATCAGCATATTATAGACCATAGCAGTTTTTTGAAAGAAGACACAACAGAGTTTAAGAACAGATATGAGGAATAATTTGGTGAATATTATTCTTACTCATTTAGTCACCTTAACAACTAGGTTTCTCATTGATTAACGTTTTATATTTCCACATTAGACCCGTTAAAGGCTTATAGGGCCATTAGTTCATGAACAACTTAAAAGAAAATGGTTTAAGTAAATAAGCAACATCGAACAAGCATACAGCATACAGCATTACAATGAGGAAGATACAGATTAAACCAAACTAAGACCCTTCCATAATGTAAACTAACAACAGAACACCAATTAAAAAACAAGATAACTAGCTCGTCCCCTAACCCATTATTCAGTTTAGACACATAAAAGTACAGATAAAACAATTACATTGCCTATCATAAATAAACCTAATAGCTTCTCCTTCCATCTCCTTCAGTAATCACATCCTTGAATGCGCCACCGCTTGGTATCATAGGCAGCACATGCTCCTGATGTGGCACAATTATATCCAACAAGTATGGTCCTGGCGTATCCAACATCCTCCGTATCGCGCCCTTGACCTCCGCCCTCTTCGTCACTCTAGCTGCAGGGACATTAAACCCCTTGGCAATAGTCACATAATCTGGGTAAATCTTATCCTCATTTTCTGGGTTTCCTAAGTATGTGTGTGCTCGATTTGCCTTGTAGAATCGATCTTCCCATTGAACCCCCATTCCCAAATGTTGGTTATTCTGCACCATGATCTTGACTGGAAGGTTTTCGATCCTTATCATTGCCAACTCTTGAATGTTCATTAGAAAACTACCATCACCGTCAATATCGACAACAGTAACTCCCGGGTTTCCTACTGCTGCTCCAGCTGCAGCGGGTAATCCAAAGCCCATAGCACCCAATCCAGCCGATGAAAGCCAACGTCTCGGTCTCCTATAGCTGTAATATTGAGCAGCCCACATTTGGTGTTGCCCGACACCAGTGCTTATAATTGCCTCGCCACCCGTAAGCTCATCCAACACCTGGATTGCATACTGAGGAGGAATTGCATCCCCGAAAGTCTTGAAACTTAATGGAAACTCTATTTTTTTCTGATCAAGCTCAGCCCTCCAGTCTGAAAAATCAAACACGAGTTCATCTACAGCCAAAATATTATTCAATTCCTGCAATGCTGGCTTTATATCAGCACAGATCGAAACATGGGGCTCCTTGTTCTTCCCAATTTCAGCTGGGTCGATATCAATGTGCACAATCTTCGCCCTACTCGCAAAAGCTTCCAACTTCCCAGTCACTCTTTCATCAAACCTAACCCCAAAAGCCAACAACAAATCAGACTTATCCACCGCATAATTAGCATACACAGTCCCATGCATTCCCAGCATCTTCAAAGAAAGCTCATCGTCAGTAGGATAACAACCAAGACCCATCAAAGTACTAGCCACTGGGATCCCTGTGAACTCCACAAACCTCCTCAGTTCATCTCCAGAAGCTGAACAACCTCCTCCCACATAAAGAACAGGCCGTTTGGACTCCGAGATCAGTCTCACAATCTGCTCAATCAATTTTTTTGCCGGCGGCTTCACCCAGGCAGACGCATCGGTGGGTCCCACACCGGCACATTAAGCTGTTGCTGAATATCCTTCGGTATATCAACCAAAACTGGTCCTGGGCGGCCCGTGGTAGCTAAAAAGAAGGCTTCTTTGACCACCCTAGGTATGTCCTCAACATCAAGAACTAAATAGTTGTGTTTTGTGATTGATCTTGTCACCTGAATACAAGCAAAAAAAAAAAAAAAAGGCTTATCACCGAAAATTAGTACAAACCTTAAATACAAAAAGATGACAAAACTAATACATGGTTTCAACTGGAATAAAACAAATTATTTACAATTTAATAGCCCAAACTTTCACACTTTTTAATTTTGACGTGTAGAGATTCTATTTTGACAATTTGAGTATTCTGCTTTTGGAGTTAGGGCTTCGGTGTATTGAATTGTCAACATAGAATAGCGAACGATAACAGAGAAAAAGAACTTTCTTACAAAATTTCAGTATTCTGCTTTTGGAGTTAGGGCTTCGGTGTATTGAATTGTTGAATTAACGTCAGTTTGAAAGCTTTTGGAGTATCAAGGAGTATCAAATTGCCAAAATAATACCTTCGGATATCAAAGTTACAAAAGGGTGAAATTTAGGGTAATAAAGTGCAAATAAGCTAATAAACTGAGGAACAAAATTAGGGTCTTGAAGTATCTGATTGTCAAACTAACACTCAATTTGAAAACCCTTTGTGGTCTATACTGTCAAAACAGAACTTTAGGATGCCAAAAAATGAAACTTTAGGATATTAAAGCGCAATTAAGCTAATAAGTATCAAAATCCCAATCAAACGAGAATACAAGCTGAATGCCTCGACTCCAATCAATAAAAGTTAGGACTCTGTCGCTTTGGGGGACCAAATCATCAAATTAGCATCAATTTGAAAACTTCGTGCTATCAAACTACCAACATCGATTCGGTTACCTCAACAATGGGTGTTTCTTGAAAAGCGTCAGTCCCAATCATCCTCCTCGGGACCTGACCCGTAATGGCGACGAGCGGCACCGAATCCAGCAGCGCGTCGGCGAGCGCGGAGACGAGCGGGACCCGAGGTGGCGATACAAACCCCGGGCTTGCCAGTGGACCTCGCGTACCCCTCGGCGGCAAACGACTCGCCCTGCTCGTGCCGTAGGAGGTGGTTGGTGATCGTATTGGATCGGGTCAGGGCTTGATGGATCTCCAATGTGGCTCCGCCGGGGTAAGCAAAGACATCAGTGACTCCAGCGAGCTCCAGGGCCTCAACGAGGATGACGGCGCCCTTGCGGGGCTCGGCGGGGCCGAAGCGGGGAACAATCGCCGGAGATTCGACGGTGGTGGTGACGGCGGCGGTGGAGGAGGGCGGGGCGCCGGGCGCGGCGAGGGGAGGAGGCAGTGTGTTTTTTGGCGGGAAGGAGAGGTGGGTTTGGGATTGATGGGTTGGAGAAGGCGGAAGAGGCTTGGAGAGGGGCGAGTTCGCCGTCGCCACGCTGCGTCCGCCGCGGGCACGACATTGGAGATTGAGGGGGTTTCCGGTTCGGGGAGAGCGAGAGAGTGAGGGCTGGGTATTTTTTGGGGGGTTTTGGAAAGGAGGGAAAACGAGATTGGGTGGCCGACATTAGGAAACGGGTTTTGGTGGCGAAGTGAGAGCGCGGGGTGGTGGTTAACGGATTGTGACAGATCATGATGGATTCGGGTTTGGATTACGACCCGGTGCAATAGAGAACAGAGCGAATTCAAACAAATATAGAAAACAGAGCAATCAAGCAGAAAATTAATACTAAATGTTTACGGCTAGAGATTTGAGTTTTATAATTCTCAGAGATTGAAAAAAGTTTGAGCTTTCGTACATCACTCACGTAAGAAACCCTCTCAATCATAAAAGATCCTTACGAATCTTAGAATTTCTCTCTTCGTTTTTCTCTACAACTTGATTCAACACCAACTATAATGATGGTTTAATAAAGGGAATATTTGCAAAATAGACCGATTTTGTTAAATATTTAGCAAAATCGACCATTTTGCTAAATATTTAGCAAAATCAACATTTTTTTGGCCAACGGGCCAAAAAGATGTCGGTTTTGCAAAACCGATCTTTTTGAAACATACGGGACTAGTAGTCCCGTATGTTTAAGGAAACTAATCACCTCCCTCACCGATCTCCCCCCTTTCTCAATCTCCCCTCAAATCGGTTTTTGGCCTTCGTCAGCGGCGACTCCTCCCCCTTCTTCTCCCTGTACTTGTCATCACAGTACTTCGTCAGAGGCGACGGCGAGGATTCGAGGTGGCATCCGGATCCCTCGGGGGGATCGTGGAGGCGTGCTGCCTTCAGCCCATCGACGTCATCAAAACCTGCCTCCAGCTCGACCGCGGCGGCGCCTACAAAGGAATCTTCCACTGCGGGTCGACGGTGGTGAAGACGGAGGGCGTTCGCGCGCTGTGGAAGGGTCTGATGTCGTTCGCTACGCACTTGACTCTGAAGTACGCATTGAGGATGGGATCGAACACGCTGCTTCAGACGGCGTTGAAGGACTCGGAGACGGGGAAGATCTCGAATCGGGGGTGAGTTTTGTCGGGGTTTGGTGCTGGGGTTCTTGAAGCCCTAGTTATCGTCACTCCTTTCGAAGTGGGAGAAGGATCGGAGGGCGGAGAGGGAACGGGAGATGGAGATGGAGGAGGGGGAGGGATTTGGAGGAGGGGAGCGAGGGGGAGCTTGAAGGAGCTCGAAGGAGCTCGTGCCCATATTGATGGTCGTGAAGAGGCGTTGGGGCTCCGGCTCCATTGATGGCGATGTAGATGAGGAGAGATGGAGGAACGCCCGTGTTCTTGATTGAAAATAACAAAACCCACGCGACTAGTAGTCCTGTGGGTTTTGTGCTGAAGTTTAGTGGGCAATTATTGGTCACTAAACTTACGAGACTACTAGTCCTGTATGCTTCAAAAATGTCGATTTTGCTAAATATTTAGCAAACTGGTCGATTTTGCTAAATATTTAGCAAAATCGGTCTATTTTACAAATTTCCCCTTTAATAAATCTCTTAAGGTTGTGTTTGGGAACTAAGATTTGGATTTGGAAGCTTGATTTAAAATCAAGGGATTTCAAATCTAGGATTTGAAATCCATGATTTGATAAAATCATTTGTTTGGATGTCATTACTAAATGCAAGGATTTGAAATCAAAGATTTAAAAACCAATGTTTGGATATATTTTATTATACATAAATTTGGATTTGAAATAAACTTTGAAAAGTGATTCAAAATCAAAATTGATCTCTTCAGTATCAATTATAAATAAGCGTGCAAATATCTTATCCTTCATGAACCAGTATGAGAAAATACAAAAATAATAATGATGTCCAAAATATTCATTATTATGACATTTTTTTCATGGTTTCATCCAATACTAGATCGACCTTCGATCTCCAAAGAACAAAAATACTACTCCAATAACTAGTCATGATAAAAAGACACGACGACACAAAAGAGTTTAGCAAAAAAAATCCTCATAAGAAGCTCTAGGCTACACAATAAGCCTTCATTTAAAATACAACATCCTATAGATAGTTGATAACCATGATTTGCTACAACAAGTAACAATGATTTGCTACAACAAGCCAAATTACCACAACATAAACTATTAAAAGAAACCATATCTAGAATCCTCTATTTATCCTTCAAGTCTTCTCCTCCTTTCTCTCCAATGTGTCCAACTTCATGTCTCGAAGAATTTATTGAGTCCTACATTACACAATTTAGCATCAATTAGTCAATGACACAAAAATCGATAGACAACATTATCTAATGGATTCAAACCATGCTAAAATCCAATCAAGATGATCAGTATAGTTTTTAATGTTGAACAAATCATAATGACGAAAATTGATCAAGTTTAGAAACTTGAAGCAAGTGGTAGAACACAAAATATGCATGCAGTGTACTAGTTTTATAGGAAAACAAGTTTAGAAACTTGAAGCAAGTGGTAGAACACAAAATATGCATGCAGTGTACTAGTTTTATAGGAAAAATGCATGAGAAAAAGCATATGCTACCAAAATATGCATGCAGTGTACTAGTTTTATAGGAAAAATGCATGAGAAAAAGCATATGCTACTCAAGACATCTAAACAACATATATCATAACACTTGTCCAAAAAGAAATCCCAGAGAGAACTTACCTGAACAAGTTCAAAGATTTGACGAATCTCGTTGTCCAACAAGAAACTATCTCAATGCATTGACTGAAACCTTTCATGAAGAAAACAGAGGTGAAAGCTTGAAACAACAAAGGTTTGCTCTTGGTACCTACATAGCACCAAACTGAATTTAAATAGCAATTTCTGAAGAATAATAGACACTATTAGCATAAGAAAAGACAACCATATCCAAACCCATCAAGTTTAGTCAACTAAAAACATGTAACTTTGATGTATACTTAAAAATATAAGATCATCATCAAGTTTAGTCAAAAAATCATGACCAATAAGAATATCTGGGTTCCTGTTGAGAACTATGGCTAAATACAATTGCACGTAATAAAAGATGCTAGCCATAAAAGACCAACAATAGAAATTACAAACTTACAGCATGAGTGTGTGAAGGACATTGAACTTGTAATGAAATGGTCATAAAAGTAAGTGGAATTTTCTCATACATGTAGTACTTGTGCATTTATCTAACTAAAATCTCATCTGTATAACCTGACACAAAAACTCTCAGGAGTCAAGAACAGGCATACGAAGAGATTCAACTTGTTTCACTGTTCAACTAACATCAAGGTGTCCAATCCAAACACAAACACTTTGATCACAAATTGAACACTAGTACAAACATGAGCAGCCCCAATGGGTGGTAGGAACCGTTGGGGCTAAATTTATCAGCACCAACGGGTAAACCCGTTGGGGCCATTCAATTTTTCCACAAAAAAATCGGAGGGAGAGCTGGCCCGCCCCCGCTAGCCCTAAATTTTATTTCCCCCCAAATTATTTCGATCCCTCTCCCTTAGATCTCTGCAATTCGCTCCCTCCCTCACTCTCTCTCGCCAAAACTGGCCAGCGGCGCCGCCCTCCTCCTCTCATCCTCGTTCGAGCTCTCTCGCCGCTACTTTCTTCTTCTTCTTGTTTTTCCTCTTCTTTTTCAGCTGAACCCAACTAGAACAGATACTGATGCATTGTTGGTGTAGGCTCCCTTTGATGCATATCTACTCTCGTCGTCGTCGTTAGAGCTCTCTCGCCGCCTCCCTCCCTGTCTCGTCGCCAAAACCAGGGCCGCCCTCACTCCCTCTCTCGTCGTCAAAACCATCGCCGCCCTCCTCCTCGTGGCGTCATCATCGTCGTCGGAGCTCTCTCGCCACCTCCTCCTCTCCCCTAAAAACCCTGATTCGAGCTCCTCTAATTCGAGCTCCTCCTCCTTCACTAGTAGACCGGCCGCTCGATTGGACATTATTCTCAAAGCTCTGTCGCTCTCTCCTCCTCTTCGGTGAAAACCCTAACCCTAATCTCCCTTTCCATCAAAAACCTAATCACCACTTAATTTGGCCTTCTTCTCCTCTTGCAGCTGTTTTCCACTCCTCCGGCGCTGCTGCCTTTTATCCTCCTCTACATTGAAAGGTATGTGAGGCTATTTCTTAATATTTCCTCTATTTTTTCCTTCTTAAATTAGTGTTTATTTTTTGTCTTTATTAATTACTTTTGATTTTATTTGAAGACACTGATAGTCGAATGGATTTGATTATCTTCTGTCACATGCTAATATTCACTATATATTGTTTTCTTCTTATGACTGAAAAATTGTCTTTACGTATGAAACATATATATGTATACTAGTTAACCTATAAAGCACAAGTTAAAGATATTTTTAGGATTCCATTTGTCTCAGGAATACATATCAAGCTAATGTAGAAGTGGAATTGTCACTGCATGTTAGTTTACACTTGTTAGCTTTGTTACACTTCAAGTTAGTCAAAATAGTGGGCTAGAAAATTTTGTTATGGTTTCTGTATTTAACCACCTCCTTAATATTATTCTTTCTTTGAAGAAAATTTGTGCAGGTCTAACACTTTACGTTGAACAATATTTGATGATTGAATTGTAGTTATGTGGTTTAGTGATTTTTAATCTCGGATTATCGATAATGTTTGCTTCAAGAAATAATTAAGGTCTTGAGACATCAATAAAAAAACTTGATATTATTCAATCAGAATGTCATTTAATTTGCAGACATTACATATTTGATACTTAAGTGTAAGTTCTAGAAAAGAATGTATCGTGCTTTGGACATCAATAATCTATTATGTAGTAAGAAAGAACAGTAAAGAGTAAAGTAGAATTAATCCACGTACATGTAAGTGAGATACACACACAAACACACGTAGAACTCCGAAATTTCATGGAAAGGAACTTTGTTGATTTATGAACAAGCTAAGAGAAATTTAATAAAATCACTACTGTATGAATCACATATCCTTTTCTTTTGATTAACTTACCAAACACTTCAAATTTAAAAACTGGCATAAAAGTTTAGATATACCATCGTTGTGCCCTCACCCACTATATAACGTTCATTAATAACTCATGCAAGGATGTAGATATGTTCAGTCATTATCAGCACCAACACTCTATATAACTACGTGATCCGCAATTGCTCACCTAAGAGGGTTAAAGTTCATATATAAAAGGTTGACTGACGTTCATGATTAATGTTGTATCTCTAAAGTTGTTTTGGATCAATATCACAAATTTTGAATATTTTTCTAGCATTAGGTAGATCATTCCATCAATGCATGCATTGATCTGATCACTACTGATGACTAGTGAATCGTGTTGGCATGGGACAGACTAATTAAGAAAGCAGCATATACTTCTCATTTTAGCTTCTTCGTGAAGTTTGCAGACATTAATTGCTAATTTATAATTGCTAATTGGTTATGGGAGACACAATGATGTCATTATGTTATTGAATTAATTAGATTTTACAATGTCGTATCAAACCTAACCATATTACAAAAAGTAGAAATGGTATAGCTTGTGGTTTTGGTACTACAAAAGGAAGTATAACTTGTCATATGAGATTCAAAGTGAAAACTTCTCATTATAGGAACTAATTTCATAATGCAAGTCTAAGTTATAATCTGAAACTTTGTTGCTGATTAAGTTTCTACAGTGTAAACAATCTGTTCAAAAAATTCAACGGTTATGTTCACATTCAAGTAGTTTCATATCAATCATGTTTTAGAGGTTCATCTTGGAAGAAGATCATTCAAAACACGCAAGTTAACTCTGCAACATTAATAAGATCACCACACGGAAGCTCAAACATCACCTATTTGTCGATAAAAAAAACTTCCATGCTTATCAAGTTGTTAAATGTCTTTGTGCTAACAACAGTTACGAAGACCCTTCTCGTGTAAGTTCGATAATATTAGTTCGTTGATCGTGATATAAACCATTTAAAACAGCAAGTTTCTCTTTATAAGCTAGGTTAGTTCTCAATGCTTGCTTTTGTAGTTTAGTGATCTTGTTATTTCTACAAACTGATGATTCTAATATGCCAATGTATGCCAGATAACTTAAAACATTTCATATTTTATGATTTGCTTACATCAGGCTATGAATTGATGATGGTTGTAGTCAATCGTAATCAAATTAAAATGAGATGATATAGAAACTGCTTTGAGTATTGCATGCATACTTCATTTATCAAACTACATGTTATGGCAATTTATTTCATGCATAACTTGGATAAATTGCACAAGTTATCAGAACTATATATACACCTTGGAAGGTGTACTCACGTAGAACTCGCTGTAGTCTGTCACTCCTTGTTCTCTCCTGTAAGAGGTGGGAGTGCGAGGGGTCAAGTTCTTTTTTTTTTTTTTTTTGCGAGAAGCAGGTGTGTCTCATTTGTTGTCATTCTGCTCCTTTCTTTGGAGTTATTTATTTATTTTATTCAGCTCTTTAAATAGATTAATGAGATTCAACTACCTTGTCAACAACAATTTATTTGGACTTAACCAAGGATATGATTTATTTGGATGTTAACTGAAGCCTTGAGAGAAGCCTAGTGAAAATTTCACACATAATAAATATTTGATGCACTAGGCATGTTTCACATTTATGAAAATTGTGATTAAATTTAAACAAGTAAATAAAATTTATTTATACCAAACTATATAGTTTTTATAATTTTCTGAAAATTAGTGCAAGCGTGCTTAATTTATGAGTTGTTATCACTAACTCTGTCTTGGTTAGGTTATCATGGCTCATGACTATATCAGGGTTAAGGACTCGATGTATGTGAATCGTGAAAAAAGCACAAAGCCTGAGTTCATTGAAGTAGTTTCTTCTTTTATGAACTTTGTACGTGAACACGATAAAATCCAACATGGCATGATTCTTTGTCCGTGTAGCCATTGCGGGAATACTTTGCATCGTAAAGAGGAAGATGTAGAACTTCATATTGTTAAGTATGGTTTTATTAGAGGTTATACAACTTGGGTATATATCACGGAGAAATTATAACTCCTATTAATGTCGAAGAGGAAGAAGAAGAAGTTGACGATATTAACTTGTTTCCAGAAGAGGAGATGGAGTAAATGGTAGATGTTGCTTTCGGTGACCCTAATCATGTTGAAGATAGTCCTCCCAGACAAGAACAATATGTAGATGAGTATATCATGTTGAAGATAGTCCTCCCAGACAAGAACAATATGTAGATGAGTATGAGAAGTACATGAATGATGCTAGGAGACCGATTTATGAGAACAATATGTAGATGAGTATGAGAAGTACATGAATGATGCTAGGAGACCGATTTATGAGAATGCAAAACATTTCACGCTGTTATGTTTCGTTCAGCTTTTTCAGATTAAGTGCCTAAACAAATTGAGCAACAAGTCATTCACGATGCTTCTTAAATTCCGGAAAGATTCTATGCCTCTTGGGATCAATGTCCCTGATAGCTGGTATGAAGCTCAAAAGATAATGTCTAATCTGGGTTTAAATTGTGAGAAGATTCATGCATGTCCCAATGATTGTGTACTGTATTGGAAAGAAAACTCATATAAGAAAGAGTGTCCTACTTGTGGGGTGTCCAGATATAAGAAGAAGGCATATAGTAGCAAGAATGACATACCTCTCAAGGTAGTATGGTACTTTCCTATTACACAGAGGCTGCAGAGACTTTACAAGTATAAGAAGACAGCGGTGGCAATGACCTGGCATGATCGTGCTCTTCCAAGTGAAGATGGAAAAATGAGTCATCCGAGAGATTCACCCGTATGGAAGAATTTCGACAAGTTACATCCAATATTTAGTCAGGATCCTCATAATATCAGGCTCGGACTAGCTAGTGATGGCTTTTGCCCCTTTAGTTTTAATGGTAATCCACACAACACATGGCCGGTTGTAATGATGATTTATAATCTCTCACCATGGTTGGCTATGGATCAATCATATTTTATGATGTGTCACGCCCCGCTTCCCAAAATACCAGGGAATCGGGACGCGAGCAAGCCCGCGACGTATTGATTGAGAAGAAATATACACTATCTTATTTTTTTTCTTTCTTTTCTTCTCAATCCAATACGCTAAGCGTCTAGAAACAATACAATACGAAGTCACAGGTCCCTGATCACACATAGCAAGAATATAAAGACAACCCAGAATAAAAATAGACATATCATCAATGGTAAATCATCCCAGACACAAGATACGGGTCAAACATACCCTCATTACAACAACAGTTCAACTAGGAAATAAGAAATACATAGTCCATAATAAAAGGAGATAAAATAACTAAATCTATCATCAAACTAAAGAAAAGTACGGTAAAAGAGTTTTAATATCCAACTACTACTATGAAAGAAAACCACTACGCTTCAGATTGTTATTCCGATCCATCTGGAAGACCTTACTGCTGCAAATCATCTGGCTCCTGTACTATCCCGAACTGAGGCTGCTCATCTCCTAAATCTGACGTACACCCAGAAAATAGGAGTACGTCAGCGTGTGGAACACACGACAAGATCCCCCAAGGCAGGAACAAATACAATAACAGTAATAATAATATATGCATGATCAATGCTATAACAGAAATAGAAATAGAACATGTGATGATAGTAGTAACAAAAGAGGCGTGCAACTGGACTAATAATCAGATGAATCCAGAAATCAACCAAGTAACAAGATCATGCAGGTAGCGATCAAAAACATCCAAGCAACAAGGTCATACAATAGATGGAATTAATATTTAAAAATCTACAACAAGAGACGTAGTACGTCGAGCGAAATAATCCAAACAAGGAAACCCTCATGTATATACCATATGTCTCAAATTGTAGATAATTAAATATTAACCCCAATCTATGTATGAAAAGAACACAACTAGCCATCCTATCACAACTCACTGGTTCACATCTCACTAGAGTCAAGGTTCATATTCTCGGATAACCGGTTGTTCACAAAATCATCACTACAACAAATTGCACTTTTCCCGACGCTTATTCCCGACGCATGGTTAAATACGTCGCCAAAAAGTATGTTTTTCCCGACGTTTTTAGTTAGCGTCGGCAAAAAATATATTTTTCCCGACGTTTATAATTAGCGTCGCTAAAAGTGTATATTATTAGTGACGTTTTAACTTAGCGTCGGTAAAAGTTATGGATTTCCCGACGTTTTTTTATTTTCGTCGGCAAAAATATAGTTTTTTAGCGACGTTTTAGGATTAGCGTTGCTAATAATATGCATTTATAGCGACGTATTAGACTAACGTCGCTAAAAGTGTTATTTTCCCAACGTACCTATTTGGCGTCGCTAAAAGTTGTATCTTTTTTGACGCTTTTTTATTTATCCGCGTCGGGAAAATCCCCCCTTTTATTTTCACGAAGACCCCCACCCCCGCTCTCTTGCTCATCATAAAATCGCCCCCAAACCTTCTTCTCTGAAGTTCGCCGCCTTCGTCGAAGCCTACCGCCGCCATCGTCGGAGATCTCCGCCTCCGTCGAAGTTCACCGCTGCCTCCGTCGGATCCGTTGTATTTCTTGTTCTTTCAGTTGATTTTGAGAAATGGAGGATGTGAAGCTGGAGATTTCGTCGCGTTCGGATGAGGGCGGCGCGATTGAAGCTCGATTTTCTAATCTCTGCAAGGTTCGTTCTGCTAAATTTCTCAGATTTAGGGGAAATTTTCTCTACTTTTGGTATTTATTTAGGTCTTAGGTCTCATGTATTTTTCTTTTTCTGATTTACATTCTAAGCGGGCTTTATGGTTCGGATTGGGAAAAGAGACTTGAGGTATTAAAGCATTTCATTTCCATCTTTGTATGGGTTGATTTAACTTTCTTTTATCCATTATTTGACCCTGTTTGTTGTTCGTTTGGCTGTCCTGTTTGCAATAGTTGAAGGAGCTACAGGCAAATTTTGTCCATTTAAGTCTTCTTAGCAGGTAAAGGCCCAAGCGTCCATCTAGTATGATCTGTTATATTTCCGTCGATTAATGCAAATTATCATGGTAAGTCACTGTAGTAAGGGCAGTTAATACTTGTGAGTTTCCCCTAGAAGATGTTATGAAGGAAGCAGTTCCTATTGAACTTCTTAATGACAGTTTTACCAACAACTTGCTTTCTTGTCTTGTCTGGTCTCTTTGGCTATAACCTTCTGTTCTGGTTTTGCTTTTGTCATTTGTAATGCCTAAACATGCACCTTTTTCTCCTCACTTTATTGAACTTGGTACTTCTTTGTGCTATAAGTATTGTTTGATGGATTGCTAAGCAGCTTAAATAACTGTAAACTGCATCTGATGACAATTCTTTAGTAATTTTATATCAGCTATTAGTATGGTTCCAATATGTTGGATACAGCTATAATAGATGATGTTGTGATGACGAACATGCAAACAAGTTGTGGTATGATTTCAACTTAAAAATAGCATATGATGTTTTTTTGCTTGTGATAACTAAACATATAGCCAGTTCTCAGTTTCGAAAGTGATGGTCAGATCCAGTGTGATGGTGATTTTGTTGTGAAATGGTGATCTAAGGATATGTCCCTATTTTTCATATGCTGGGTTTTCTTTGCTCTGCATCTTACTGTGTGCATAGGTGTATGCTCTGTGTTTATACACTCTGCCTGTTTCTAGTTCTCTTACATTTTTAATTGACAGGTTTCCACAACTGATCATCATAAACTTGCATGGTATGTCAGGTACTACAAACGTGCGTATCAAGAGTTCTTTAAGTGCAATTCAGGGAGTGTTCAGCATCCTGCAGTCTCCTCTAGTACAGGTTATGTTTTTGATTACCATAGATTTGGATGGTTACCCTCTAGTACAGGTTATGTTTCTGATTACCATAGATTTGGATGGTTACTGTTCTTAGCTCTGCGGCTTCATGCATTCGGTCGTTTCAAATATTTGGTTACGTGCACCAATGGATTAGTGTCAATATTGGTTAGTTGTTACACAGCTTGATTGTTTTAATTGGACTGTTTGCATGTTTAGTGGGCGTTGTTAGTAGCCTTTTTCTTATTTTTGCTACTTTGCGTTTTAATTGGACTGTTTGCATGTTTAGTGGGCGTTGTTAGTAGCCTTTTTCTTATTTTTGCTACTTTGCATGTTTCAAGATTTAAGAAAGAAATGAATGGGCGTTGTTAGTAGCCTTTTTCTTATTTTTGCTACTTTGCATGTTTCAAGATTTAAGAAAGAAATGAATGTTATTTTTAAAGCAACTGCGCCTATGATGTTGTAGTTGTAGGTAGGAAAAGGAATAGGATCTCATTTTACAACCTCGAGGAATACATTTGATAATCTTATTTGTATCAATGAAAATTTTGTGGTCTTTTCATTCATTTCACAAATGATATGTTGGTTTTGTCTGTATTTTTGTGAATACTCTTTTATTGGGACTATAATTGGCCATGAATGACATGAGATAATTTTGTAGGAAAGTCAAGGAAATATGTCTTGCCGTGACAATCAGATTTTGAATAAGCTGTATGGAATTTGGTCCACGTATTCACTATGATACAGGCCTTTAGATCATAATTTGCATGCAATAAGATATGGAGTGAGTCTACTTGGTTTAACTAAGCAGAGCACTTGACAATTTTGTAGGTAGTTAGTGGTTTCTCTTGCTAGAAGTTGGTTTCTTTCTCCGGTCGGAAAAGCTTTCCATCAGTGCGGTTGCAGCGCCTCCAGATTTGGTGTGCTGTATGGTTCTCTCTCCCGCATCTCTTGTTGGTTATTATTTCGCGTTGCTATTCCATTTTATCGTTAGAGTTGGTGTTTTTATAAAGAACTTGAGCTGGAACTGATTACTTGGATTGCCTTCATATGTTTTACTCTTTCAAAATATAGTATTCGATAATTAAATTTACCATGAAAAGAAAGGATAGCATCAGTTTCTCAAGTATTGTGGAAGGGTTAATTCTTTCTCATTTATCTGAAGGGCATTCCCTGTATAAGTTAGCATCTATATGTCTTTTAGTGTGGATTCATATATTCTTGATCTCTCTCTGATCGTTGCAACTCCTTTAACTATGTCTATGGCACCGTTAAGAGCACTTGTTACTGGTTCTAACTTTTACAATATAGTCGTTCTTTTATTTTAGCGTTCTTGTTTGAGTTTTTCTTTGGCATGTTTCTTCATTACCCAGTATTCTAACCCTGAAAATATGGTTTAACACTATAGCTATCGTACAATTTTTCTCATCATATTTCTGGAAATTCTTCACCGCTGCCTTCGTAGAAGCCCAACCTTCTTTTTTTTCTTTTTATTTTTTTATTATTTTTTTTACAGTTTATGATACCTGGACACTTATTGCCCTGATATTGCAGCTGATCCATATTCATGTCATCTATTTTTTTTCTACAATCTGTTCACTGTATGCTATCACATGAACAATCATTGCTGAAAACAATTAGGTAGGATTCAATGCTTCATTTTGGAATTAAATGGCACATATCAACAGGTTTAGTCTAAGTGCCAGAACTGTATTTCTGATATTGTGAATGACCCTAATTTCACTTTTCTTCAAAAGGTAACGAGTAACGGCGTTAGAAACTGAAAAATATAGAAGGTTAGGACTAGCAATTTGGCCTACCTAGATATGAACAACCGCTAGCTGACAGTTACTGTCACTAACTCATTAGAGCCAAGGGGTCAGAGACTAACAAGGATTTTGGAAGGCAATAAAAGCAGCATGTATAAACTTCAGTTACATGTTTGTTTCTTATGACAGTTCCTGACACAACTTAAATGGATCGCCAATTTATTTTCATAATTATGATAGTTCTTATGACAGAATGGAACTATAATATATCTTGTTTTGCTAATTAGTTTCAGAATTTTTTGTGTTAAAGGTGTTTGAAAGTAGAGAGTACGTATTCCATTTGTAAACTTCAGTTACATGTTTGTTTCTTAGTGTCATTTGTAGTTCTGTGCTCTCAGTTTTTTTGTTGGGACACTGCATTATAAACTACAGTGTAGGTGTATTTAATTAGCTCATTTTATTGCTATGTATCTTATTTCTTTGGCTGGAGCAGGTTGCCATAACACCAGAGGTGACTTCAAGGGTGACTTCAAGGGCTGTTTGTAGGAAGATTATTTGTGAGCTTGTAAACATTTACAAGGACTACCACACATGAAAGCTTATGGATATGTATTGCGGCCCTGATAGAGTGACTGCAAAGAAACAAATGCAGGAGTTAGACAGAGTCGCAAAAACTCTACCAGAAAATATACTTCATTTGTGAAGAGGTTCACTGATCATGCCGTTCTTTCACTTCAAGTTTTTTTTTCCAACTTAGTTTAGTTTCTTGTAAATCTTATAATGTGTCATTCTCTGTAATGGAAAACACTGAATATGGCAAACTGGAATATTTAAACAGGCCTTTGAGTGTTGACTTGGAAATGGAAATGAATGTAATTATTTTGTAATGGGAGCAAATTCTTTGTTTATCATAATATGCAACTTGTTTGGAGTATAATTTCATGTTTGGTTTCTTTGTTGATGTGAATGCTTTGTTTATCATAATATGCAACTTGTTTGGAGTATAATTTCATGTTTGGTTTCTTTGTTGATGTGAATGAGAGTAAATTTTTTGTGGATGTTCAAGTTTAGTGTAGGCTTGTAGTTGACAGAAAAGATATTACTTTTGACGATGTAAATTAGTGTCGACAAAATTATACTTTTTACCATTGCCAAAAATTATACTTTTGCCGACGCTATCTTGCGTCGGCAAAAGTATAGCTTTTAGCGACGTAAGCTTGCGTCGCCCTAAAAGCTATATTTTTGCCGACGCATAGATTTTGCCAACGCTGCATGCGTCGCCAAAAGTACACTTTTACCGACGCAAAATATTATGCGTCGCTAAAAGATATACTTTTCCCTAAAAACTATACTTTTGGCGACGCAAGATAGCGTCGCTAAAAGCTATACTTTTGCCGACGCATAGCTTTTGCCGACGCTGCATGCGTCGCCAAAAGCACACTTTTGCCGACGCAAAATATTATGCGTCGCTAAAAACTATACTTTTCCCGACGCATGGCGCGTCGCAAAAAGTGTACTTTTGGCGACGCGGTGTATTTGCGTCGCCAAATACTTTCCTTGACGCACTTTTGGCGACGCGTTAGCGACGCTGCATTTTGCGTCAGGAAAAATTTTTCCCGACGTTTTTTAAACTTTTGCCGACGTTTTTGTTTCGTCGGCAATGTTGTATTTTGTTATACACACAACGTTTCACTACCCCCCTCAGACGCACCCCAGTGCTACACAGGAATTTCACTGGTGCGAGCCTGGAAATAATCAACAAGCATAATATCACATCACCTCAGACCCACCCCAACGCTACACAGGAATATCGTTGGTGCGAGCCTGGAATAATCAACAATCACATCCGATCACCTAAACCAGGAATTCCCCATCTCAACTCTTCTTGCTTTTCTAAGTCAACACGACACATGCCTCTAAGTCACGTAAGGTCACTACGATCATGACTACTAACGATTCTCAATCACAACAAGAAATAACAAATACAACTGATCATGTACAGTCATAGCATATCAGGTAATTAAATCTAAGAATCATAAATCATAAACATCATCTACGTAATTCAGAAAATAATCCCTTTTTACAAAATAATTTATTTTAAATTATTATAATTTTCCTAAACAAAAGATTCTTTTCACAAAATAAATTCTTTTAATTTATAATAATTATTCTAAGTAAACTTTAAAATATTCCTTTTCTTTGAAAATAATTCTTATCTTTACATTCTTGCATTTATCTACCTATGTGCTACTTTTATCTACAGTACTCGTTCCATATGATTTGTTCTCACCTAATACCATACATTTTCATACTACCTCACTCACATCCATATTTTAATTCAACATTTCTAATACTTGTATACATCTATTTACAACTTGCTACATCTTCCTATAGGCTATTTCAATTCACTATTTCCACTCTCTTTTTAACACTATCATACTGAAAATCTTAATTACACTATTAATAAGACTTATTTATCACAATGACTGTTATCATTAGTTATTCACCACTGCCATCTATACACGCATCAAACAATCAAATACATATTTCACTAATCACTTGCTAAGTACCTACACACTTGCTCACACTTTATTATATTACCATGTACAGTTTAACTATATTCCCACAATACATCACGAGCAATGCTATATCTGTGAATACAAAACAAGAGAAGGGGACTTGCCTTGGTTCGTGAGCGTCGGACGGTGAGAGCGAGGAGCGGTGGCTGCCGGGTAGTGCTCGGCGCGACGTGGGGCTGGAGTCCGCCGGCGGCTTCGAACGGGGTCGAGGAGGGAAGAAGGAGGTAGGGAGCGTGGTGGATAGAGGCTGCACAGAAGTGGCGGCGGTCTGCAGATCGGTGAGCGGTCGGGGTTCTGGAGAGGAGGCGGAGGGAGGAAGAGATGATGAAGGCGGCGGTGTTTGGGGAAGAGGAGTTGGGTTCTTTTGAAGAGAGAGAACAAAGGAGAGGATACTGTACGAGAGAGAGAAATGAAGTGAGAGATGGAGAGAGAAAAGCAGATTATTTAATGATGAAGTTGGGGATGACATGCGTGTACGTGGGGTAGTTTTCAGGGGAGTGGAGAGAGAGGTTTTGGTTACGGGTATTTATATACATATATAATATTAGGATTAGAAAATTAATCAAAATAATTAAAATAAATAATTATAAGTACTTAAAAATTAAACTAATTACGGAATAATTATCTACAAATAAAAACATACATGTTGTGCTAATACAACAGCTGATACAAAATAGTCGAATTATACACATATTATATAATTAAACAAGAATAATTAATAATAAAAATATATTTACTCATATTTAAAATCAAATAATTATGAGATAATTATATACATAGTAAAACGTACTAGTTATACTAATACGACAGATAATATGTAACAGTAAAAATAATACAATAAATTATAGCAAAAATACGTAATTAATAATACCATGTATTATATAAAATGATGCGTAGTAATATTAATAATACAACATATTATTTAAAATAATACTCAATAGTACCGATAACAAAACAAATTGATTCTAGAAATTTTTTTTAAGGAACAAAATAATTAAAATCATAAAATTTGGACTTTTAAATCATAGAAAATTCTAGAACATGGCCGGTTGTAATGATGATTTATAATCTCTCACCGTGGCTGGCTATGGATCAATCATATTTTATGATGCCTCTTTTGATTGATGGACCCAGTTCACCGGGAAATAATATCGACGTTTATCTCCGACCTCTCATCGAAGAGTTACGGTCTTTATTCATTGATGGTGTGGAGACATATGATGCAGATAAAGGGGAAACCTTCATAATACGTGCAGCCTTAATGTGGACAATTAATGATTTTCCTGCATATGGAATGCTATCAGGATATTCTGTACATGGTTATGATGTTCACTTTGATGGTACTACAGAGCACCGAAAGGCTCCAGTCCCCTTATCTGGAGCGGATATACTTGCTCAATGGAATGATTATGAAAATGTGATTTTTGGAAAAGTAAAGGAAAGACAGGAAAAGCCACAATGATGGAATAAGAAAAGTATTTTCTTTGAACTACCGTATTGGGTGACAAATACAGTGCGTCACAATTTGGACGTCATGCACATTGAGAAGGGGGTATCTGAGCACATACTTAACTTGCTCCTTATTCCAAAGTCCCGCTACGCCGACTGAAGGTTGGGACAATCACATCCAAAGTATTCCAGACTCTTCTATAAAAGAACGAGGCTGAAATACTTTGGAGGGGGTATCTGTAGGCGTATAAAATTGCCTATAGGTCCCACAATACAGCTCGATGACGTTAATTTCGACAAACGGACCATCGGGCGACGTATCCAAGCACTACCGTTATCCCGCTAACGCCGAAGCCAAACCATACGCAACGGAGCAGATTAACGAGGCGACGAAGCCAACAAATCGCACCCAAGCATTGGAACGCATCCACTCGCACGCGGAATCGAACCAACGTTTCGGGGAATCACCGAGTCATCTAAACAAGAACGAACTCGGTGATATGACGATCGAATCAAGATCGGTTTCGGACTCGAACTCAGAAGTGGACTTACTGCCTAATCAGGAACCGGATCAACAAATCAAATCCGAACAAGTCAACCACGCAACCGAATCAAAGTCCAAATCAACAACAAATCGGAACCCGAACGACGGAACCCGAACGACGGAAACCGGAAAACCCGCCTAAGGGGGCTCGGCCAAAGCCGAGCCACCTGTAGGTGGCTCGGCCAAGGCCGAGCCACCTGTAGGTGGCTCGGCCAGGCTTGAGCGGATTTTTCCACCATCATTCTTTGATATTATAATACACCTGACTGTTCATCTTGCAACCGAAGCAAGGCTTGCTGGACCAGTACAATATCGGTGGATGTATCCTATAGAAAGGTGTTTCGCTTTTTTCTTTGACACAACAAATATAACTTTTCTATTTTGTATGTTTTTATGTAGTAATCTAATACTAGTATTTGTAGGTACCTTCTCACTCTAAAAAATTACATTCGGAATAGAAATCGGCCAGAGGGTTCTATAATGGAAGGTTATCTCCTGGAGGAGGTAACGACATTTTGTTCTCGTTATTTGGATGAAAACATAGAGACTAAGCTCAATAGGCCTGTGCGTATTCGTGATGGAACACATGGCAAACCAACTTACATGACAATGGGAATCACATTTATTAATCAAATACATCAATTTATCCTCCTCAATAGCGTTTGCCTTGAGGAAGTTAGAGGGTAAGTCTATTTTGCATTTACTATTATATGTGTATGTATGCATGAAATAATATAATATTGATGTTAACAATTCATGTTGAGAATAGAATTTATAAGGATGAATTACATGAAGAGCATCACAATTGGAATGATGAA